CGGGCGGCCCTGGCCCTGGCCCCTGCCGGCGTCTGCGGAGACTTAGTGCCGCACACTCCTCAACCAGCTCCCGGGACGAGGCGCGTCACAGTCATTTTCTTTCTCTCCCCCCCTCCCGCCGCCCCCCAAAACAGACACTCACACATGCACCCTCCTCCAGCGAAGACCCGGCCCACTCGCTGCTGTACTGGGTGGGTGCGCATGATGGGTTCTCCCTCCCGGTCCTAGGGCCCCTTTGCATCCCCAGAGCAAACCCGACCCTCTCCTTCATACCGGGCCAGGTTGACTCTTCCCCATTTGTGACTGTTTCTCTCCTTTTACCCTCTGTCCGGCTCACGCTACTGCTCTGAGTTGGCCAGTCCCAGTTCTTTGGGAATGGGGAGGCATTAACTGAGCCTGTACTATGCGCCTGGAGCTTTACATGTACTCGTCCTTTGACCTCAGAGCAGTCCTGTCACCTAGGTGTTGTTATGCCCAGTTCATAGCCCAGTCTTCTGAGGATCAGGGAGCAGGAAGGGAAGGGGTTCAAACCCCGATCCCCACTTTGACAAACACTACTCCTAGATGGTCCTAGTGGTGCACTTAAAACCATACCCCTTCCTTCCATTTACCCTTCTTGTCCAGTCTATTCCTGTTGCACCAAGGATCAGAACCTGTCCCTACTGCTCACTTCTTTCCAGAGGGGTTTGCTTGAGAGAGGGCTGCTGGGCCCTGGGGAGACACTGCCACCCTTCCTCCCAGCCCAGGGCATCCCAGCTTACAAGTTTGCAGGGCCTGTGGGGATGAACCACGCGGATGATCTCCCCCGTGGGGATCAGCTCCACTTGTAGTGCCATTCTGCCTGCGGACAGCCAGCGTGCTGAGCACTGAGGCCTCTGAGCAGAATCCTGCCTGCCAGCCCACAGGCTTTGGCTGCTCCTGGAGCCAGGATCTGGTCTCACACTGGGATGGTCACTTGATTCAACTTCAACTCCAGCCCCAGGGGATGTGCCTGGTCCAGCGCCTCAGGACACAGCTGGAGCAGCCCAGGTCTGATTGGGAGGCCTCTTAGCCCAGTGGGTTGGGGCAGGAAGAGGAGGGGCTGAGGGATGGAGGAAATGCCTGTTGTCCCAGGTAACCAGAGCAGCTGATGCAGTCACCCATGGGGGACCTTAGGCTCCAGGACAAAGGGTAGGAGGCCTTCCTCCCCAGCAGTTCCATGGCTGGGCTTCTCCCCTTGCCTACTCACTGGTGTCAGCTGGAGAACACAGAGACCACTCTCCAAACCAGAACGCATATCCTGCTCTAAGCCAAGGGAATCCATCAGTAGGCACTACCCCTCCTGCATGCCCCACCCACTCCCCCAGCTAGCCTGCCTCCTACCGCACCAGGTGAGCCCCTTGAGTTTGGACTTGGGCTGCTGGGGGCTGGACATGTTGGAAAAATGGGGTTGATTAGAGAGGTGTGAGGGCGCTTTGAGGAGCCCCCCGTTTCACCCTCCTCTTGAGCTTCAACCGCTTGGGAAGTTGGTCCCTGGGTTCCTTCTGTGGGCAGCCTTAGTGCTGTTTGCTCCTTACATTTCCATTAGCACCCTCAGGTGCTCCACCCCTCCTCCCCATCCTTAATGTTCTTGTTTTTCTAGCTTTATTGTTAAATCACAGCTGACACTTCCCTGGCCTGAGCCTTTGGGTCTCCAGCCATTCCTTATAGGAAGTGAGAAGGGGGAAGTAGATGGGGGAAAGTGACCTTTCCAGAGGCAAATGCTGGCATGGGAGGGGTAGAGTCCAGTGGCCTGCGCTGGACTTGACAGCCCCTTACGCAGGCACCTTCCTCCAGGCACCCTTCCCTTCCCTCCTCACAGCTTCCCCCGCCCAGGAAAGACCAGCAAAGATTCCTTCCTTCCTCGGGAAACACATCTATCCAGGGCAGGCTCATCCCCGGCAGCCACACAATGGCCCTTATCAGTCGTGGAGCCAGGCACTGAGACCCAGCGCACACCAAGTCTCACATATTTCCTGTTTCCACCCAGAGGGTCAGGGCTGGGCCCAGAGCGGCCATATCCTGACTGCGGCCAAGAGGAGGGAAAGCACTCCCCCTTCCCTTTCCCCTTCCCGCCTCTCAATCACTGCTGGACTCACCCCTGCCAGGCTAGGAGGGGCCCTACAACAGGAAGAAGGGGTAGGGGTGCTTGAAGACTTAAGGGAGAAAGGGAGAGGTGGGCATGTGGAAGACAAACATGGTCCACACCAGGAGAAACAGGGGACCCCTGGAGTCAGGAGCTCTGCGATCCAACCCCAGGGCTACGTTAATCAGGAGGTTACAGGTAGTGTTGCTTTGTTTTGTTTTGTTTTTTTACAATTGTTCTCTCACAATAATCTTGTGAATAGGTATGTTATTTGTATTTCACAGACAACTGAGACTCCTATGTGGATAGAGATGGAAATCTCAGTCAAACCCAGGTCGACTGAATTCCTATTTCTGGTGCTACATGATACCACAGCTGCATGTGTAACTTCAAAAGGATCACATCACTTCTGAGCTGTGGTTTCCTTGTCTTGTCAAATGAAGGGTGCTATGTGGCAGCATCAATGATGGTTGCATGTGAGAAGGAATGAAGTGGGCAAGTACAAGGGTTCAAGGTTCCTCAGATGTGTGTGTGTATTGAAGTTAGGGATAGAGGTTACCATGGGAACTTCGGGGTAGGGGGATCTGAGGCAGGGAGAAAAGATGGTGACATTTTTGGATAGCTTAACCCAGGACCAAGGCTCAAGACTAAGGTGTGAGGGATTGGTGGCTGAGGGATAAGCCAATGAGAGCAGAGTAAATTAGGGGACCAATAGCATAGGTAGCAAGCCTCAAGAGGGCCAGGGATCAAGAGGACCACCATCCCAGACCCTCATCCAATTCCCATGAGGATAACATCTGCCACTCAGAGAGTCTAGTCTGGATCTACAAAGGCCTTGTCTAGAGTTTACCAGGTGCCCCTTCCCACCATCATCAGGAAGGAGTCACACACAAGTGTAAAAGCCATGTTTCTAATTATCCCCCAATATAACAGACAGAACACAGACAGCCATGGCCCACCAGAAGCCAGGGGGACAGTTTGATGGTACATATGGCTTCTGAGGATGGAGTATGGAACATAGAGCAATTAGAGTGTTTATCAGTCTCAGGTTGTAGGATTGGCATGACAGTCATAGAGCAGGCTCCCTGAGGTGTCTTTTCCTGGGAGAAGGGCCACTGAGTCACCAGCAGCTTGAGGAAAGTAGTGAGAGTCGAGACAGCCATGTCCACACAGCACCTGGAGAATGCTCTCTGAAGACCCCCAGGACCAGATTCCTCCAAAACGTTTTGATTACAGCTCTCTTCTCTGAGCGCCTCCACTTCTAGGTCCCAGAGTGGTCTAGAGAGAGGGCAGGTTTCTGGTCAGTGACTATAGGCAAGGGTAGGGGCAGATGAAATTGACTGGGCAAAGACCATCCTGGAAGTCTGTGGCATAGCTCCTCTACCACCTGCCAATCTTTTGCAAGAGAGTAGGTTGGGGGGCATGGTGCCTGATCCACCAGTAGAAGTGAACCTGGGTCCAGTTCTCTGCTTAGGCCCTGGAACTTCCTGGGTCAGATCTCATGAGGGGAAAGGGGTGCAGGCAGAAAGATACCCAACAACCTGCCCACAACTCGTACATAAGAGCCTGGGTAGTGGGGCCCCTCCATCCTGTCCACTTAGTCATACTGCTCTGCTCAAAGCAAGGATCCCAGACACTCTGCCCATCCCTCTGGAGGACAGACAATGAGATGTCAAGATCCTGGAACCCAGTGCTGTTTGTGCCAACCAGTTGATGGAGCCTGTACAAATGTGAGTATCTCCCCCTCCCAGGCAGCCTGAGGCCCAGAATGGTGTGACAGGAATGTAGACCTGGGCCAGGTGGGGCATGTGCCTGGCAGGCCTGCTTGGGCAGGACTGGAAATGTGCGTGGGAAAAATCAAGAAATGAGATGCAGGCTGGAGGGTCCTTCCCACATCTGGTGTACTGTCCCCAGGTCTTCACTGTTGACAAACTAGCTGGTTTCACTAACATCTCAGCAATAAAAACCTGTATTTAAGTGGCCAGTTCCAGAGATCTGGACTGGAGAGAGCACAGGAGTGTGGCTAGAGCTCCCCCTTAGAGGTGAAGGATACTTGCTGCCTCATCAGGGGGCTGGGCCGGGCCCCTACTACTCCTGGCAGTGGTAAGCAGAGCTGGCTGCCAGCTCTGGCCTCCGCCCTGGATTCCCTCTAATCCCGGCTCAGATCCGTGGTTGGGCTTCACCCAGTGGGTCCTCCTGCAAGATGGCGCGAGGCTGGATCTGCAGGGATAAAATAGGCAGTGAGTGGAAGGGGCAAGAGTAGGTTTTCCTCTGCACTGTTCCATTACTCCCATTCCCCAACTGATGTGGCTCCTAGGCCTGTAGCCTCAGGGAACAGATAAGGCGCTCAAGCTCAAGTCCTCTGTGTACCTTTCCCTTTACCCACTAGCATCCCTTACCTTGAAGGGATTGCTTATCCCCACCACAGATTGTAGACTGTTACTATAATAACAGAGTAGAAATTGATCCTCAGTCTCAGGGATATTGTTGACGCTGATATATACCTGGCGGGGAGGATGGACAGAAATGGGGTTAGCTCCATGGCCCTGGGTCCCACCCAGCTTCCAGCAACAAGTTATCCAGCTGTTTGTCCCAGAAGACAGAGGAGGACTCAAGCAAGCCCACCTGCTGGGGATGTGGAATACCTATCTCAGGAAGTGGGGAAGATACCTGGTTCAGCCCGTCACTGGAGGAGACCTGGTTGTCCCCGACCCAGACATAGGACACGTAGTCATTAATGTGGCGAAGCCCCACCTGTGTGAGGGGGGGATTTGGCAGTCAGTGGTCTAGGAGGACACAGGACCTACAGCAAGTCCTAAGATGATGGTCTCATTCCTAGGTCTGGCCATCATACTGTATGCCCCCTCCCCTTCACTGCCAGCCCCTAGGTGGGCAAGGACCCCTGGGGTAAATGAAGGTAAATTCTTCAGTCTCTGTGCCTAGATTCCATGAGCCCTCAGGATGAATAAAGCTGAAGGGTATAGCTGATGGACTCCCTTCCTAACCAATCACATCACCTTGTACAGTCCAATCCAGTCCCAGGAGCTGCTGAGGAAGTCTGGGGTGGAGGAGTAGCTGATCAGAATGTCGTTCTCCGTGGTCCACAGGCCCTCATGCATCAGGGTGATCATTGGGATAAATACCACTGGCTTTAGCTACACACAGGGATGGGAAGGGGGTTGAAAATCCATAGCATCATTCCCTTTTCTGAGATGAATTTCCTTACTGTGCCATTTCAACAAGTCAGGGTCAGAGAGGGAAGGAGGGGCACTAGAGCAGTGGGCACAGAATACCACTAGGCTTCCTGGAGAAAGTAGATTTTGGCTGGCCAGCTGGAAAGAGAAAGGGCCAAAGGCTTGTCAGGGGTGGCTGGCCCTGCCAGGGAGGATGTGGCTGAGGGCCGGGTGAGTAACCAATCAGAGAGCCCAGTACTGAGGGGCAAGAGTGGGGGAAATTAAGGGAGGCAGTTGCTGACAGGTTTAAGAAATAAGCCAGGTAGTTGCTCTCAGGTCTCCGAGGTTACTGACCCAAAGGCCCAAATTCAGTTTTGCAGGGGGAGGGTGCCTCTGGTGAGAACAGCTATAGGCATGTGGAGGGAACAAATGATATAGACAGACAAACCAGTATAAAAAGGTGAAGGCTGAGGGCAGCCAGCAACCTGAAGATTAATATTGCCTTGGTTGTTAGATGGCAGGGAGGGAGCTCCCTTTGCAACCTGATCCAGAGTGGTTCAGGACAAATAAAAAGGAAGTCTTATATCACATAGTAGGTAATAAGCATAATGGAACTCAGCCCCAAGAGACAGACCAAGAGGAAATGGAAACCTATTCACAAAAGGTTTGAACACATTTTTGACAGAGCTATCAACAGCTCCTAAGAAGAGCTGGGATACCTGACCTAGGAGGAAAGGCAATCATGTCCTCCTACAGCTATTCCCTGGGGGACCTACTGACATTAGAATCCAGGGCTGGAGTGTTTGGGGATGTGGCCCAGCACAGCTACTCCTCTGCCAAGTGCCAGGCAGCCCAGAAGTTCACCTCCAAGTCAAAGGTGCCAGAGACAGGCTTATGGTCACTGATGGTGTACATCATGTGGCTGATGTAGCTCCTCAGAGACAGGAAGAAGTCGGGGACTGGCAGCTCGGGGGTGTAGGAGCCAGCATGGGGCTGCCGCTTCAACCTCCACAGGATGCGGTCAGTCCATGCAGGCTTGCGTTTCTTCTCACTGACAGATAGGAAGAATGGGGAGAGAAGAAAGAGTTGGCAGGAGAGCTGTAGGTACCCCCATGAGCTTGCTGGAGCCCCTAATACCAGGGTTTATCAGCAGCCATGAGCCCTACTGGGCCAGAGCTGGAACACAGCATGTCAGCAAGCAGGAGGGTGCCCAACAGAATCAAAAGTATGCTGGTCTTTGTCAGATTCAGCCAAAGGCCTTTAGTACAGTACATTTTTATGAATGAAATTGTGACTCAGAAACATCCCATTTCAAAGCTTTTCCTATTTCTTGAACAAAAGCAACAGATCAAAGAAGTAGAGCTTTGGATTTTGGAGTTAGACAGACCCTGGGCTGGAATTTGGTGCCTCCCTTACCAAAGGTGTGACCTTAGGAAAGGAAAGGGAAGCATTTAGGGAATGCTCACTACATGCCTGCGATCAGTTCTGTTTATTTCACCCTTTACAGGTGGGGAGGTTGAGTCTTAGATGGGAAGTAACTTTCCCAAAGTCATACAGCTACTGTCTGAGTGGTGGAGCCAGGATTCAAGGCCAGGCAGCATGACCACAGAGCATGTGCTCTAAATCACCTGGCCAATCCTTCTTAGGCCTCAGCTTCCTCATCTGTAAAACGGAGATAATAACAATAGTTACCTTATAGGGTTCCTGAGATGATTAAATGAGATAAAGCACAGAAAAATGTTTACCATAATGACTGGTACAAAATAAGCTCTCTGTAGGCACTGCCTATTATAATTCTTTGTTCTTGAGTCAACTGAGCGCCCTCCCACTTGTTCATTACCAGCTTCCCTTAGGAGCGTGAGAGGACCTGCAATCTTAGAGACAAGAGTGCTTTCTTCTCCTAGGTAACTGTAGTTGCCTCAAGATAGGTAAGTCTCTGGCTCCTAATCTAGCCCTGTGCACGCAGCTACTGGGCATTCTCTAAGATGGACTAGGCACCCAGGCTCCTCCCTCCATGTGGAGATCCTGAGTCTGAGAATGGGGTGGGGGAACAGTTGCTGTTTCTAGGTTCCTCTCCCTTGGTTTTGAATGAACCCACAGAGTAGTAAAGCCTGGTCAGGTGATTCCCTACTTTAAAACCTTTAAGAACTCTTCATTGCCTCCAGAATAAAACTCAAGTCCCCAAGTATGGTTCAAGGTGCTCAGGAATCTGATGCCCCTGTCCTTATCTCTCATCACTGCCCAATCCCACCCAACCCTGGTGACTCTCTCAAGCCTCAGGAACTTTACTTTGGAAGTTTTTGCTGGCTGGGACATCCTTCTTCACCCAGAGGGTCCCAATTTCAATACTGTCTTTGTCATAAAGCTGTCCCTGAGCTCTTCCTCCCTACAAAGCATTTACATCAGTACTTTTACAATTATGTTATATTGTAGTTTTGTTTCCCATCAGCATATTAATTAGTGTGTGAAACTGGAAGGCAAGGACTGGCTCTTGGAGACTCCAGTGTATCCTCAGCATTATTACAGAGCCTGGCACATAGTAGCTACTCGACAACTGCTTGTGAACCCAAACTAAAAAAACCCAAGCTTGATCTCTCTCCTCAAAAATGCCCTTCTAAGCTTATACAGCTTTATATGCTTATAATCAGTTTGCAATGCTATTTTTGTCTTTTGCTTTATTCAATTACTATTTTAAATAAATATTTCTGACATACTGCTGTCACTTCAACAGTATGCAGTTTTCTAGCAATAGAGGCTGAATGGCGTCTCAGTGGTGAACTCTGATGCTAGAGTCAGAGACCAGCTGGGGAAGGTTTGCCCTGTTATTTAAGCGCCATGTGGTTAATTAAGAGCCCCATACCATGCCTTATGCATCTCTTCTACCTGCCTATTCTTGAGTTATATCTTTTTATAATAAACCAATATAGTTAAAAAAATAAATAAAAAGACTATGTGCCCTTAGGCAAGTGACATCATCACTCCCTGGCTCAGTCTCTTCAACTGTAAGATGTGGTGATAACAGTACTTACTTCAAAGACTCATTGTGGGGATTAAATCCAGTAAAGTATATCAAGGGAGTGGTCAAGAAGTTACAGTAACTGGCTAAACCACATTTGCTTGGGCCTCTTTGGCTTGTTTCAGCTGTTCACTCTTCTGAGGAGTGTTCAGAGGACATTGGAATGTGGTTATTTCCATCCCAGACACTACAGACACTGAATCTCTGAACCAACCTGGGACATTCAGTGCCTAGCAATGCCTAAAACTTGGTAATAAACCACCGGAATGTATCATTCCTCCTTTTATAGCAGTCCCCCTCCCCAAATCCCCTTTTATAGTTAAGAGCCCAGACTTGCTGTCACATCAGCATCTTCCCCAAGTCCTGACCACAGCCTGTCTCTCGTTCCTCCTCAATACCTCTTAGCCTGTCTCCCTTCCCTCCTTTTCCATGGCCTAGTCCAGGCTCTTCACTGGGCACCTGTAGTACTAAGTCTTTCAATGAGATTTACTGAGCCATTATTATACTCTAGGCCAGCTGAGAATCCAATAAATGAAACTGACAAGATCCTCAAGGAGCTTGTTTGACGAACAAAACAAATAAGCAAAATAAATGTGTGTACAAATTAAATATTACATATATTCCCCCAGTTCTCCATTCCTAATAATATAGCTAAACATGGGGTCCTTCTAGGCATTAGGCACTGTGACAGGTGTCTCACAGACTGTTCTAATTCTTCTGACACTGGAAGAATGTTACAGGTCACATTTTTCTCTTACAGGACACTGAAGTCGAGAGAGGTCATCTGGTCCAGGTGGAAGCCAGACACTTGCCCAGGACTGCCGACTATGAAGTCCCTGCTCCTTCCACTGCACTACACTGTCTCCTCCAGCTTGCCTCATTGTGGCCGATTCACTGCAGCCAGAACTGTCTTACAGTGTGTGTTAAACAGAACAGGACTCACAAATGTTTTTTGGTTGAATGGTCATGCCTGAATACAAGAATTATTTCTGGAGATTAGTACATCTTTACTTTTGCAAAATTAAAACCAAGTAGCTCTGCAAGATTCTCTTGCTTTAAGAGCCTAGAAAACTGAGCCAATTTACTGACTCAAAAGTAGTGATGTGTTCCATTTCTGGGTCTGAGAGCACCTAGATGGCTTCTAAGTGTCTCATTGAACTCTGGACATGAGTCTTGACTAGACTGACCATAATATCCTCTGCTCATTGCCTAGCAGAGAGGCTGATTGGGTTCATGTAATGAAACCCCATTGCAATCCCTGACTTTAACAGGATTTCCTGCCCTCAGCCCTTTCACCTCCCCTGTAATGGAGCTGACCTCAGTTCTCATTACATCTTGGCTCAGAGACACTGTTGTGCCTGAGCAAAGCTGTGTCCCATGCTCTGCATAGTCACTTTGTATGGCTGGGTCAGGCTCCACTCAAGGTACCTCTTGTCAGTGTTGACTGATCGAATGCCTGCCTTTTCTGCCAAACTCCGCCATCTCCCTGACAACTCTGATTGACTCTTCCTGGCTTCAGCTGCCTGCCTCCTTACCATTCACTTCAACTGCCTTCGGCACTTCCACAGAGTTCTGGAACCTTCTATTGGCCAAATCCTGAACATGACAGTGTTTACTTGGATCTCTTGCTGTGGGTGGGTCCCTCTACTAGAATGGCTGCTCCTTAAATACCACAGCTTTTCTTTTTGTCCTCTCATGCTCCCAATGAAAACATATGCCTGGTACTATGTTACCTCCCGGGAATGGTCAAAAATCAGATCCAGTCTTTGCTCCAGGCATTCACAGTACAGCCAGAAAGGCACCCTGTGTCTTAAAAGCAACATTGAAAGCCTAGTGTGTACAAGGCTTGTGGCAGCATAAGGGCAGGAGAGAATTCTCAGTGAGATGGAAGGGTAGGTCAGGGAGGGCTTTTTAATAGAGATGATGTCTGAACTGGTTTTCAAGGATGAATACCAGTCTGATTAGACAGGAATGTTTCTGCTACCTATGTAGGGCTCAAGTCCCAGCCACTGCAGGAACTCCCAGCTGCCTCTGACCCCTGGCCCCAATGAGTGATATTTCAGTTATGATGTTCTCCTGTAATGTCCCCTGTTCCTGTACAGACCTTCCTTCGTCTCCTGGGATCTAAGCAAGGGGTAGTGCATGGGTTTGTAGTCACATAGACTCAAGTTCAAATTCTGCTTGATCACTTACTCTGATACTGCCTTAGATATTCCAAGACTCAGTTTTTTTTTTGGTAAAAAGTTAGTAACAACACTGTCTACCTAAGGAGGATATGATGCTAATTAAGTGAAGTGATGCAGGCAAAGCCCTTTGCACAATGCCTGGCAATAAAAAGTGGTCACCCACAATGTGGATTTTATCTATTGTGTGGAAATAAGTATCTGCCTCCTTCATAGCAAGTCTTTGCTGTTCTGATCCTGCCCTCCTTTTTGCTGCTGCTGGCAAAACTAGCTGTGAATTCGGAGGTACTATGGGCTAGAGGAAAGCCTCATGAACCACAGACTCCAGTCCAGAGAATCAGGTCTGAGTCCTGGCTCCATCATCACTAGCTGAACCACTTGAGAAAGTCCTTTAACATTTCTGAGCTTCTTTACCCAATCTCAGTCCCTGCCAACTGCAGCTTAGATCCAGCTGTTTGCAAACACTTCCAGTCTCCTAGTGGTTTCCCTATCATACCTTGGGGGTGGTAGCAAAGAGACACCTGGCTATATGGTCTGTCAGCAGCTCTCTTCCTGCTGTTAGCGGCTCTCTTCTTGCTGGCAAGTGAGGTTTTAAAGTCAATTGGTGGAGGGTCCCAGCCCCCAAGGCCCCAGTTTGTCCCACCAAGGCCTTACAATTTCTGTGACTCTAATTTCCAATGGTTGGCTGGGGAGACTGGCAGTCTCTCTAGCTGTGGACCTGGGCCAGCTAGAGCCTGCCCTCTTACCTCCTTTCCAGCCTGCTGTTGCCCAGGCTGGACCCTGTTTCCAGTGTTCATAGCCTCTTCTTGTATGTGTTACCCTAGCCATGACCCTATTGTCTTGCTCCACACTCCTGAAATGGCTCACCTTCAACTCCTTCCTTGGCGGGGACACTGTGGTTCTGCCTTACCACTGCCAGCACTGGGCCACCAGTTCTACCTCTCACCTTGGCCTGGCTGTGGAGATACCTTTTCACCCACTAAATCCCAGAGGCCTGGACTGCCCTGGAGGACCTCCTATTTCCCTCATAAGACAATCCTGATAGGAGAATAATAATAAATGAAGGAGCTGCTTCAGGTGAAACAAAAAGCTCCATAACAAGCTCTTCTTTTCCTTCAGAGATGAGGATCCTTTCCCTAAGTTGGGCCAGGGACCTCTTGCCAGAACTGCTTTTGCCTCTCTCTCTAAGCCTAAGGTTTTGGTGGTTACCTGGCCCCTTCTCAGTTTCTTAGAAAGGTTTTCAGTGAAACTACCAGCCAAAGACCTGAATCTAAAAATAATAATAGCAGTTATCACAGTGCTTACTGGGTGCCAGAAATTGGGCTATATATATGCAAGGTCTCATTCAATTCTCAACCCACGAGGTTGATACTATTATCACCATTTTATAGATGACAAAATTTGAGGCTTAAATACCTTGTCCAAGGTCATGCAGTTGATGCAGAGCTGCGCTTCTAACTACTAGATGCACTGTCTCTATATTGTTCCCTATTAAAATTCTCCACTGACAACTATTTCTTCACCTTCCTAAATAGTACCTGACCCACTCACAGCTGGAGCAGGGATACTTAACACCAGTAACTGGCTGAGCCAAGCTCCCAATCTGGGGAGGATCAGCAAGCCCTGGGGAGTAGGGGAAGGGGTTCCAAGAATGCTGAAATGCAGCTCCTCCTAAATCAGGAAACAGCTACCTCCATTTCCCCTCTGGCCCTACCTGCCCTGCTGCCCAACCCCCATCCTTGTCAGCACCGGTTCCCCCTCCCGCTCTTTTTGAAGACAATCTGGGACAGCTCTCACAGTCAGTGCCTCATGAGGGGGTGGGAGGGGCCGCTCCTGAGAGGTGATGGCTGGATCTATTTCTGCCTCCCTAACACTTCTATTTATGAGGCATCTCCCCTGCCACTAGGGCCCACACGGTCTGACTTCCAAGGCCTCCTGGCCCCTCATTTCCTCCTCACAGACTAATTCCAGATCTATGGCAAACTGTTCATCTCTTGGTGGAGCCCCCTCACCTAGTGTCATAGTTGTCGGAGTTCTTATCAAACTTGTAGGTGGGCGGGAAGTGCAGGGGGCCTTCCTGGAACTCCCGGAGCAGTGGGTCTTGTCTCTTGGCAATGTTGAGCTGTAGAAAAAGTCACAGTCCCAACCTCCCAATGGTCCTGACCCCATGGCACAACACCACACTCTATTTAAGGGATTGGCACATGCCATCATGGTAGGGCAAGAATCAAGCAATGCCACTTCATTTCCTTGCAGCCCAGTGGCAGCCTCAGCACCCATTCCTACCCACCCCAGGAGAGCAGCTGAATCCTTTTGCAAACATTACCCCATAGTCCCAGGGGAGGCAGCTGCCTGCCATTTCCCAGTCCTTGGACTATAGGGACGAGGCTTTGAATTCCATTCCTCTAGGAGTCACTAGAAGACATGTGTCAGAGGAAAGGCTGGGGTAACCAACGTCCCCCAAATAAGTGATATTTCATCCTCTAGGAGGCAAGTAAGCCTGGGGATGGGAAAGACGACAGGTATACAAGGTTGGTGAACAGCAAGCCAAAGCCCTTCTTGTTCCCTATGCTAATGCACGCCCAGCAGCTGTACCCTCGTTCCTCCAGATGAAGACCAGGCCCAGACAGGGCTGGTTGCCCCACCCCACGGTGTGAAGCCCTTTTAGATTCCTCCCTACTCAGGAACAGGGACTTCGAAGGACCAGGAACGTAGAAGAGGAGCTGGGGAACCTGAGCAATGCTCCACACATTTCATGTTGGACCTCTACCATGGGCTCAGATCGCCTCTCTGGACCCTCCCCACCCCTCCCCTCCCATTGGTACCTGATCTTTCTGCCACAGGTCAGCGTAGCACCGATTTTTTATGGACTCCCGAACAAAGTGCAACCCAAAGTCTTCGATTCGAAAGTTCATGTCTCCAAACCAGAGAATGAGGCTTCAGAAAAAAAGGAAGGCAACCTGAGGTTTGTGATGAGTCCAGAGAAAGGAGAAGCAACAAGTGGCTCAGGCTTGCTTACTCCAGGGGCTGTACGTGAGAAGCCAGATGCTGGGAAAGGACCAGGTGAAGACCAGGAGCAAGTGGTAAATGTGGAGCAGGCTCTAGCCCTCCCTCTCCCTCAACTGGCCATCAGGCAAGGCTGAGAACCAGCCCTTCGGGTGACCTCAGGAACCATGGAGTTTTTAAACTGAGATGTTCAGAAGTGTCCAGGGCTTCTAGGCAGTGCAGAGGAGCCAGGGAAGTGGAAGGGAAAGGGGTCTCCAAGCAGGCAAAGCTGGATAAGAGAGCAGATGGGGTATCAGGGATGAGGCCAGGAGAGCAACACCGATAGCCTCTGTCTGGGCAGCAGTGACTGGGCAGAGGACGCTAGCCTGGGCGGGTGTAGGAGAGAGGGCAGGGGTGACAGTTTGCAACCACATGCTCACTCATGGTCCAGGATGTTGGGGATATCATGTCTCCCAACATTCTGCATCTCCAGGATCTGGTCGAAGTGCTCCAGCCGCTGGTCATTGTTGGCCATGTGGGGGGGCAGGTGGCAGTTGATGATGCTGACATAATAGCCGTAAAGCTTCAGGCAGATGTTGACACCCCCTTTGTTCCCCTGGTAGGACAGGTGGGCAGAAGGGTAGGAAGATGCTCCGGGTGGGACACACCTCTCTTTTCCCATCGTAGGCCTGAGAGGAGATGGTCTCACCTCCCACAAGATCTCCCAGGGCCAGACACTCAGCTTCCCAGAGTGACCTCTCCATCCACAGAGCCCAGCTCACTCAGCCTGAGGTTTCAGGATGCTAAGCAGTGCCTGAGGCAGGGGAGCAGGTATACAGGGCACTAGCCTGGCCAGAATGCCAAGATTCATCTCATCCCCTTTTCCCCTTGCCCAGATCTAAAGCCACCAGCCCTTCCCAATCCAGTGATAGGTCTCCCAGCTCATGGCTCAGATAACCTCAGTCCTTACCCAGTACCCGTAGAAGCCAGTGGGGATGGATTTAGTAGAGATGATCTGGATAAAGGGCAAATGCTGATGCTTGGCAAAAACCAGTAAAAGGAGCCCCTGCATGCGGACAGAGGAGACCTGCAGGACACAGGAGGGCAATGGTCATTCATTTCCCTGCATGGGCCAAGTGTGTCCCTGCCAGGCCCTGTGCCACACAAATGCCCTGCCCCAGGGTCTCTGGTAGTTCAGTTCAAGTCTCAGCTGCCAAATGATGCATTCTAGGAGCTGAGCAAATTTCAGTTTCTGTTCCTGGGCCTGGGGGTGAAGGAAAGAGAAGAAAAGGCTGCCAAGGCACCCTGCCATCAGGAGGGCATGGACTCTTGTCCTAACCCCATGCATGCCTAGGTACCCCCTCACTGATGCCCTCCTGAGGTTCTCTGGCTACTTTTGGGCCACCACCCCTGTGGGCCAGGGCCTCAAAGAGGAATGCAGCCATACAGGATAGTGGCTAAGGGTACTGACTTTGAAGTCAGCCAGATCTGGGTTCAAATTCTGATTCGGGTTTTTAGTATTTGATACTGGGCATGTCTCTCAGCCTATTTTCTCATCGACAGAATAAGAATCTATCTCGTAGATGCTGTAAATATAAACCTGCAGTTATTATTATTTTTTGGTTTAAGGATTCTTAAATGTAAATGCAGAGAAGGAAAATGAGAACCTTCTCGGGTGCTGGAAGTATTCTGACTCTTGACTAGATGGTGGTAACATGGATGTATGCACATATAATAATCCATCAGATTTTACACTTAATTTCTGCATACATTATAGCTCAGTGAAAAAAATTAAGAAAATGCTCCCCCAAAATAACTATAAATGGTGAGCAGCTGGATGCCCACAGAGGCAATGCAGAGAGGATGAGAGTGAGTAGATTGGGATGCGTTCACAGATTGGGGAGAATAGCTAACATCTCCTGAAGTGCTTCAAATTACATTTAATCTTTACACCAGCACTATAAGGAACCACTGTTCCTGCTCTACAGATGAAGGACTGAGGCTGAAGGAGACCAAGGAATAGGACTACCTGGATAACAGCATCGAAGGACTGGGACTGTCAAAACCTCTGCTGTCTGCAGTCCTGGAGGTAGGGTGGGCATGAGAATGGACCATAACCAGTGGGGACCCTTTATCTCAGCCTCAGGTTGTCTGCATCTACCACTTGAGTAGCTGTTTCCGGAGCATGAGGTGCAGAGGCCAAGGAGGAAATCCCCGGGTGGGGAGCGTGTACTGGGGCCTTCCAGGAATTATGAAACTTGATCCCGCCGGCCAGGAGCTCTGGCACAGTGGTGGAGTCAAAGCAGGGGGAACCCCAAACCCAGGACTGAGTGAAGGAGGCGTGAGAACCGAGGGTTGGGCAGTAGTTACTACAACTGTGTCCACAACCCCACCCTCCACCCCCAGTCTTGGCCTCTCTTCTTCACATGCACAACTGATAATGAAAGTGGGGGAAGGGCTGGACTCTAAGGGACTGACTCCCAGGGAACGGATAAAGATTCAGGAAGAGTTTCAAGTTTATTTCTAACCCACGGAGCAGGAGCAGGTTCGGGCCACTTTGTGAGGGAGCAGGGAAGTGGGGGCAGGGGGAAAAGGGTAGAGATGGAGCAGGAAAACTTCAGATTGGGAGAAAGGGTAGGGCTGTGGGGTGAAAAGCAGGAGATCTGTAGGAGATTTGTTAGAGGAAATGAAGTAGGAGGGACTAAGGAAGGGCTAGGAGCCCTGGAGCCAGCACAGGGAATCGCCCTGGGCCTTTCAACCTATAGCTGGTAAACTCCAGCCTAAGAAACAGGCTGCAAGCAGGGCTCGCCCCTTCACCTTGATTCTTGGCTGGAGGAAGGAGGGCATCTGCTTTGTGTGCCAGGCCTTTAGGCTGGGAGGCGGCATGGGTAGAATGCATTATGTGCCTGCCACAAGCTGAGCTAATTTCCTTGGCTCAATGCCATCCTACCAATCTCTTGCCAGTTAGCTGAGGTGCAAGGAGGGCTCCACTCTAAGGAAGGGAGTCGGGGGGGGGGGGCGTAAAAGAAAAGTAGTTCTGCCCTCCTACAGGATCTAGCTTTATCCATGTCTAGAGGAAGAGGCTGCAGTTTGATCCGGAGGGAGCCAAAGGCTTGGGGGCTGGCATTTACTAGCCTCAGCAGCAAGACCAAATCTTGTATTCCCTCCTCCCGGCTCTCTGCCCTCCTTGGGAGGACTCACAGCTTTTGCCTCAGCACCCTTAGGCAAACTAGAGTAACAGAATTAAGTCTGAAGAAATCCAGTCACCCAGAGAAAGGATAAGAGAACTCTGGTATTTTCAAGAAGCCCTGCATTAGGAGCTTTGAATGGGACTGTGTTTTATCCCTCAGCTGTGAAAGGCAGAAAGGTGAAGATCAGAAATCTAGAGCATTCCTGTGGATTCTCCAATGGTCTAAATATTCCCCAAAGAATAACAGCCCTTCAGACTGACGACCCTTTTCCTCAACACTTATCTCCCCTCTACTATTTTCTGGGCTCCTGAGAATGTGAGGTGCCTATCTCCCATGATCAGAGGACACCCTCTGATACCAGAAGGTTAGCCCTGGGATACCTGTCAGGCTTAAAGCTCACCACTATAGCAATAAAATATAGTAGTTAAGACCATGGGTTATGAAGTTCGAAAGATCCATATTCAAGTCCCAGAGAGCCTGTGTGACCTCTGAATCTGTTTTATCTAAAAAATATCCATATTTCAAGAGATTTGTTAAGATTTTAAAATAATATATACAAAAAGCTTATTTATAATGCTTAAAACCAAGTAAGAATTTGATCAATGGTATTAATTTTTATTATTATACTCAGATTTCAGGCAGGGCATGTGAGGAGAGATTGGCTGGGGATGGGGTAGGTACTGAGGTGTTAATAAACCCTGCAGCCCCTCCCAGAGGAATTCTCCCAACCCAAAAAATATCTAGGTGTAAATGAACCCCTAGGGTCCCAGCTCAGCTCCAACTAGCTTGGAAAGGCACAAGGTAGGCAGGAGGCAAGTATAACTGAGGTTTAGGACATTAATGAGAAACAGCATATAAGCCTGAGTGGGAGACTGAAAGGCTGGGAATTAGTGACAAGAGGTAAGACACATGTTCCAATCGTCCATGAACTTGAAAGTTACCTTGATGAAGCTGAGAGGGGAAAGCACTTCCATGAAGAAACTGCTCCATGGGTCTTCAAAGGCAGTATCAGAAAGGAGGCTCATGATCCCACAGTTCATTTCCTGCAAACTGCCCAACCCAGGTCAGAGGCTTTCCCCCTGGCCTGGAGGGTACTGCCTCTGCCACAGACATTTAGTACTGCCCTCAGCAGACTTTCAAGCCTTGGGTTCCCATGACCACGATCTCTCCTTCCCTTTGCTATTGATCACCAACCCTTTGCATTGCTGACCCAGGACGAGAGACACTGACTGGCCCTGATGCAGGCTGAAAGCTCCTAGCCTTCAGACTCCAGAGTAAGGAGAGGACAGTTATGGCCGTTCCCCATGGGAACATTTGGGACTGGTCAGGCTTACCTGATCTCAGATATAGGGGTGGGTGAAGGGGCCCTGCAGACACCTACCCAATGACATACATGTCCAGATTCAGGTTCTGGTTGTTCAGCTGAAGCAGATCATTGAGGTCTAGAGGGGGTGCTTCAGAGGCTATATTCCATGTCACGACATGTATGCTGTAGAAGGAATGCAAAGTGAAATCATGGAGGAAGGAGGATAAGACCTTGTCCAGATAATGGACAGAGGTCTAGGACGGCTAATGGCTGCACCACAATCCACTGCAATCATAATGGGAAACATGAATTTCTGCGCGTGGTGGTGGGGATGAGGTGCTGAATTATAAGCCCTTTGTCTTCACCTTTGTCCCCCGATGCAGGAAAGTCCCACCCTGGATTGGCTCCTCCATGCAGGCCCTGGCAGCACTGGTGCCGCTGACACTAGGGGAGAACTGCCAAAGTAGGCCCAAAGGTTTTGGGGTCGGGCGAGGGAAGAGGTGGATAGTCAGGAATTTATTAATTTCACCAGTCATTCACACTGCAGCAATTATCTATGGCTCAGTCAGCAACTTCTTAATCACTATTCTTCAACCTGAGGGTTCCTAAGACCACCAGAAAGATTCTGGAGGTTCGGTTTTCACCTCATGAGAGGATTCAGCACAAGATGAGAATTTCAAAAATAATAGAGATAACATCACATTTTGCCAAACATTTCAGAGAGCTTAAGGAGAAGATTCTAAATAACAGATTTCTCAACATCTCTCTCAAGAGTCTATCTTGGGAAGAAGTCATCAGTTGGATAATATCCTTCATCTCAGCTTCATATGTGCCCTAGGGAAGCAACAGAACTAGATCAGCAGCTCTCATTAACACTGGATCCCATCAGAGGCTTAGGCAATCTCTTCAAGGGAATAGTCACAGCAACACTCTAAGGAGGCCACAGACTGCTGAGTATGGAGCAGGCAGGGAAGGGCTACAAACCCTGCAGAGACCAAGGACAACCATCAAGCCTCAGGTGAGTCCTAGGTACACCATGAGGAGGAGGATCTGTAGCAGGGAAAGATCTAAAATGGAGGAGAGTACAGGGCATAGAGGAAAAGGGCAGGATGTCTCAAAACATCTCTTCACCAGACCCTGTTCTTAGAGGTCCGTGTTCTAAAAAGCACATCTTGAAATTCTTGGCGGGCTTAAAGCAACTTCCTGCCCCTCCCTGTGAATATCAACAAAACGACACAAAAAAACACCTTTTCAGGCACTCAGCCAAAGATTCCGTGCTTAGTTAGTTTACGATCTCCCCCTGCTGTCCAACAGAGGATTAAGAAAAGCAGCCCTTTTACTCCAAGGCTTCTTGTTTCCCCAGGGACCTGCTCTAAGTGAATGGGGATCCAAAGTCGGATTTCTCGCACAAATTCTCAAGTCGGACGATTAGCAGCAAATACTTGCATCGTGACCTGCACTAAGATGATGATTAACATTGTTCCTTGTTAAAAAGCAAGCATGGGACCAAGCTACATCACTTCGTGAAAGGCCCTTATTTAAATCTGATTTCGGATTTCAGGTCACAAGGGGATCAGGCAGAACCCATGATGTAAGTGCTGATCAAAAGCAAGAACAGGTTTCTAATCTAGAGCCGAGGGTAGAGTGCTTTACTTAACTTCAAACAGCCCAACACTGCTGCCTTTTCCAAAGCCAACTGGGCACCAGTTCGGGGCGCCCAAGTGGGAACTAGCTTGGCGGCTTGAGTTTGGAGGGGGCGCGGGGCTCGGACCCAACATAAGCATCTTGACACTGGCCTCATTTGAGAGACCCTCTGAATTTGAAGCAGCCCTGTAGGTCTGGTCCCTCCTTTCCCTGTCTGGTTCTGCCCCAAATCCACACAGCCCCGACTGGGTGAAAGGCAGTGATCGCGCCTAGAGGGGGCCAGCTGTCTGCAGTGCTTTTCTCACCTGAGCTTCCTGCCACTCGGTTCGGTCGGCCTCCATGGATTCACGGTTGCCATCGTCCCCACGCAGTAGGCAGGCCGACTCCAGTCTCCCCGCCCCAGCAGGTCCTGGCCGGATCAACACCCTCCCAGCGGCAGGGCCCGGCTAGCTCGTTCTTGCCGGATTGTTTTCCTTCCGGATTCTGGACCTCCGCCTTGGCTTTCGTAAGAGGCGTGGCTTGGGTGCACGGAGTGCTCTGGGTGGTGACGCCCAGGGAAGAGGCGGGACTTCCAACGAGCGCGAAAAGGTGAAAGGCTGAGGAACGAAGCTTAAGGCACCCGGACGTCAGAGAGGCGTGCCCTCGTGTCATCGAAACCCGACGCAACACTGCTCCGCCCCGCGTGCGGGCTGCGGCTGCCGGGCGCCCAAGGCACGAGCGCCCCTGTTCCAACCCATGGCTCCCAGGGTGCTCCGCGCGAGGCCGACTGGGAGCAGCCGTCTTCCGGGAAGCCGTCGCCACACCCGCGAGAGCATCCTCGGCCATAGTGGGTTTCACTTATTGAATCCGAGGTCTCTGAGCTCCTTCCAGCTTCCCAATGCCTAGAAGCCCAAAGGGCGAAGTGAGGGGAAACAGTCCAGCCACTGTCCTGCCTGTAATCCAGTCTCTTTCCCCCACCCATCTCCAGGTAATCTCATATTGGTCACTGAGTACCTCCATTCTTATTTCTTCTCCAGGTCCACTTTCAAGTGTTTTTTGCCCTTCAAACAAATTAGGACACCTATTAAACTTTGGACGTTGGAGGGTTCCTGGACTCAGAAAATTAGCCGTGAACGAATGAAGTTACTGCCTCTATATTCTGACCAAACATGAAATTATTTACTTTGCCAAGTAAGATTAACTACGATGTCCTTCAAATCACTGGTTCTTAATATTTAGGATGGGAGTGGGGAGGACAGTGCATGGAATTCTTTGAGGATCTAAGAGAGCGTGACTTTCCCCAGAACACAATTTTACAAGGATCTTCATGAGGGTCAGACCCTGAAGCAAGGTTAAGAACTCCTACTTGAAGTGTTTTGCTTGGTAGGATGGGAAAAAAGAGGGAGACGTGAAGAGGAGGGGAGATAAAAGCACAAAGGAAATACTGCCAGTAGGACTTGTCCAAATTATTTTCAGATATGTGATGTCTGCATAAATAAAATGGTCGGGGGTGTTTAATTTACAGAAATCCACCTGCAGAAATTTTCAGAGATATCTTATATTTTTTCCTAGTCCTTCCCAGGTAAAATGGGGGGCAAAAGTTTGAGGATATCTAACTTGTAAAATGGACATGAGGACATCACCAATAAGCTCGACTCCAGAAAACTCTGTCTAGGATTTTATTAGACTTTTTTTCCCCAATATACCTGTATTGGAAGATTGAGACAGAAAGGCACAAACTCACAATAAGGTAATCTAATCAATTCTACAAAGTGTATTTTGTAAAAGAAGTAGCACTAAGAACCAACCAAAATAAGTCAGGGAGTCCCAGCAGGGACTGTAAGAGAACTTGGGAAGATATACACGTGCCCACAATACTGACCCTGTCCTTGACCTCTCTCCCATGAGAAGGCTGGAGCTCAGCACCCCTCCTACAGAAGCATGGCTACTTCCAGCTGGGATTGTGACTCTGGAAATCTAATGGAAGCAGTGGTCTGAAGGGGCATCGTACATCCTCAGGTACTACCTTGGAGCTGAACCTTTCACCATAAGCCCCTCTGAGTGTTAGTTGGTTTGGAGTGGGGTGAAGAGGGGAGGGGGATACTTAAAAGACACCAACACTGTTGCCCAGCAGCAACACTATCCATGGGGATGGAGTAGACCAGGGACATCCCTCCTTATGTTTATGTGGGCTGAAGCCCCAGATCCAAATTCTAGCTCAGCTCATGTGGATGCTTTCAAACTGGGGAAACAGGTGGAAGTGGGAGAGACAGAACAGGCAGACAAAGAGTGAGCCGCCATCAGAGCTAGAGTGATATGTGTGAATCTCAGAGACGACCTGAAGGAAGGAGACTAACATCTGACCCTTAAACCACCTAAACAACTGTCTGCTTAGAATATCACCAGTTGTTTCTCCAAGGATAACCCATATCTGGACTTCACTTAGTCGATGAATGAAGAAGGGAGAGCTTTAAGCACAAATATAATTATAGCTAATACAGCTTGTAGGAAAACATTTATATTTTTCTCCAGGAGGAATGCCTCTTCAACTTTCCCAGTCAAATAAATGTGGCCAGTTAAGATGTTAATAACCAACTGAACTGCACCAGATCCATTGTTACTGTAGACCCCACAAAGTGAGACTAAAAGGGAGGTGTAAAAGGACATCCCCAGTTCCCAAAGAAGGTGTGAGCTAAGCATGCTGAGGGGTCTGAGTCTGTCCATCCTTGCCCCAGGAGGGCCACCGGGGAGCATCCTTCAGGATGTCACAGGTGCAATCCTGAGACACTCCCTTATTCCACTTAAAAGTGAGTAAGGCAAAACAAACTGATGAAAGCATGAGGACAAATTATCTCATCCTACTTCTTGCTCCCCCAACAGAGATTTCGTCTCATTAGCAGCTGCACCCAGGCTAGCATGAGCTAGGATCACTGCACACTCAGCCAACATACACAAGGTTTGGGAAATGTCAGGTAACACCACAGCTATCTGATTCGCCCACTGGGAAGGCATATTCAGGTTCTTCCAAGTTGTAGGGAACTCTGAAGCACTCAGCAGCTTCTATTCCCAGGGAGCCTGCACTTTCTCACCAGCCTACTTTGGTAGAGTTCTATACTACAGTCACTAGTTGCTTTTGATTGTCCAGGACAGAACTCAGCATGGGGACAGGACGAGCTGAGTTCTTGGTCCTCAAATCCTTTCTAGCAACTGGAGACAAGAGGGAACATGTTCTGCTGGGAAGAAGCTTTTTGCATGCTCGTTTTGTGCAGCATGAAAAGATCAGGACTCTGTGTCCTCACCAGCCTCAAAGACAGAGGACAGGAATCTAAGAAAGCACAGAGAAAAGAGGATTATTGCTGAGTGACAGCACCAGCCCAAACAGGAAGAGGAGCATGGACATATAGAGCTCCTCAAGGGGGCAATTAATTAGTATATGTGGGGCAGACTCAATTCTAAGGGCCATACTGGACAAGTCCCTCCAGGTGGAGAACTGACCTGGGCATATTATGGGCTCTGCAGAGATGCGGACAGAGTGGGCAAAAGGAGGGCAGAGAAGCCATAGGTGTTTCTAAGACTAGTGACCAGAGATCTAATGCCTAGGGTAGAGGTTATGTGTATTTGTTAAATTTTCAAAACAGAGTAGTTGGTGCTTAGAGCACTCAATGGGTTATTGGGAACAGTGGTCAGAGTTATGAAGCCACATTGCTGTTCTGAGGAACTGGGGGTAGGGGAAATTCTGTATTTCTAACTCATCCCCTTTCCCCAGGTGAGCACTCAAAATTGCAAAGATTTGCCCAGGAATCAGAATACCTCAATTTATCCCAGGGTTGAAAACAAACTTAAATCATTTAAATCACCACATCACAAAAAAGGCAGCTATTTTGAAAGACTAAAATGTCACTTGGAAATAAAGAGGTGGGGCACACAGAAATGAGTTGAGAACACAATGGTTGGAGAGGGAGGAGCTGTAAATACAGCAACCTATATGCCACATATCTCAGAGGAGCAGGCTCCTGCACACACGGGCTTCATAATACCAGACGGTCTATTTGTTCACAATATTAAAGGGCATCTAGAATTAGCTACAGTAAGGGATCAAAAGTTGCCTGAAGAATGGGCACAGAAAGGCTGCGTCCGAAGATGGCCTGTCACTCAGGAGGGTGGAGCTGCTGGGCCTTCCTGTTGACCACTGTCTTGCAAAACTAGAAGAGAAATAAAATAATATGTTAAGAAAGCAACAGGAAAATAGCATTGTAAATCATCATTGATGGAGGAATTTCAAGAGGAAGAAGGATGCTAGTCGGTATGTTGGGGGTTGGGGAAGAGAGAAAATAAGGTCTATACAGTGACTAGAAGCTGACATTATAGCAATCCACTAATTCTACCCTTTTATCTCCCAGAAGTTCTCCTCAAGCACATGGGTCAGGGAGAGCAAGCAGAGGTTTGCATCACTGCTAGTGAGAACGCAGGCCTCCATAGCTCTTTAGTGCTAGAGGATAGCCAGTTTTTATTTGACAAAATAATTTCTCAGAACCTGATGGTGAGCAGGGCCAAGTTTTTCATCCATGACCAAGCCCAGCTGCTAGAGTAACAGTGAGTCTGGAGGTGTGCAGGCACTGGGAGCAATTAGAAGGAAGGGAACTGGGGAAGAGTGACTATGACAAGGGACATCCCATCCTGGTCGTATGACCTGGGCAGAGATATCTCTAAGTGTCTGAAAGATGCTGCCTCTGATGAGGACAGCTACTTAGTATGGGACCAGGGGGTATACAGAGGAAGGAAATGAAGCACCAGACACAACAGTGAACACTAGGAAAAGCTGTGTGGCCAGCAGATTTTCCAAGAGAGGGACAGGGAATGCCAGCAGTTGGGAGTTAGGAACTGGCTCTGGCACAGGGGCTATAGGGAGTGCCCCAGAGTGCCAGCTGCAACTTGAAATGGTTCAAGTAAGGAGAGGAAGAGTAATTAGTTGCAAGTAAACTTCAATTCTGCATTTACTGCTCCCCACTCCACCTTCTCACCTCCCTGTCCATGTCTCTATGTAGTTCTTTATAAAATCACGTGTCCCTAAAATGTCTTACTAGTCATAAGTTCTTTCGATGGAAGCCTGAGAGCATGACAAGCCTGTTTAGCATGGCAGCCATCACTGTTCTAGAGGGCAGGATGAAGAATAAAGCAAGTTTTCTGACTTCGTAGTGAGCTGCTGAGTCCTTGAGGACCCCAGCTGATTTTTAGCATCTATGACATACACAGTGAGAAACTGGGTACATACAGTGCAGAAGGGGGGGTGGCTTTAGTCATCCGCTGTCATTCCTTTCACTGGGTCCTTTTGTCTCATCTGCAACAGAAACAGAAAATTTAAAATTTAAAATTCCTTAAATTTTTTTTAAAAGACAAAAGCATGCTCATTAAATGTAAGCTCACTAATGAACATTCACATAAATTTTCAATAATCAGAGACAAATAATTTAATGTCATGGGAGCAAAGCTCCTTGAGCCTCACCCAGATTCTTATGTACTCTGAGAGTTCACTGCTAATCCAAAGCCAGGTCCTGTTTTCCTACTGCTTGAAATAAGATGCAACTTCCTATCAGAACTCAACAGCTTCCCCTACTCTCAGAGACAAGGTGCCTGCCCCACAGGGTACCAATGAAATAAAAATTCATTATCTCACTCTTAATTCATTATCTCACTGAAATGCTCTAAGAATGCTTATTTCCTGTTTCCTGGGGCCTAAATGACATGAGAGATTTTATCTGATGTTTGTGGTATTCCTCGGGTCAAGCCACTGCAGGCTATATATATACATATAGTCAAGGAACATGAAAATAGAAATTCCTATCTTGGTTTATTTGTTTTTTTAACAGTGGTTTCCTCTAGGAATGAAGCCAGGGGTTGGAGGAAAGGGACTTTTATTTATCTATTTATTTACATGAACTTATATTTTTTAATATTTTCTATATCTTTTGAAAATTGCTTTTACCATTAAGTAGATATGAAACACTCTTTTGACTTAAAAACTAGTAAAAGTATCAATGTTAATATCATGGTTGTGATATTATACTGTAGTTTTGGCAGATACTGCCATTGGGAGAAACATCTCTACTATTTCTTATAACTGCATGTGAATATTACAATCATCTCAAAATAAAGAGTTGAATAAAAAAAATAAAGCTAGTAAAATAAATCAGTTTAAGACACTGAAAAGTAACCAAAAACAATTAGCATTTCTGAAGGAACACAGATATGAGCCACATGTGGCACTGTTTTTAGAGCCTCTTTAGAAAGCCACTTTACAAATAGGTTCAGCTCTTTGGGAAAGAAATATGGCAATAAATAATAAGAGTCTTAAATTCTCTAATTCCATTTGTAGGAATTTATTCTAAGGAAATAATCCAAATTACTAAAAAACTGCACAAAAATTTTCATCACAGCATTATTTATAACAGTGAGAACCTAGAAACAACATGAAAGGAAATTTTAACATAGGGTAATGACAGAGTACAGGGCAGTATTTTTGTTTCAGTCAGATATAAGTATGTGAAGAAATTTTTTAGTGGGAAAATACTTTGTTATAATGCTTCATTAGAGAAGAAGGTAAGATAACCACCTGGCACATGCAGTACAATCATAACTAAGTAAAAGTGTGTAGAAAGACTTAGAAATGTGGGAAGATGTTTCTAGTGGTTGTTTTTAAATGGTGAGAGTACAAGTGATTTTTTTCTTTCTACTTTTCACAATTTGCCAAAAGACATTTAATGCTTATATATTACCTTAATATTGAAAAATGAAATCATATTTAAAAGGAAAATAAAGCTACTCCCATATTTCAAGATGTTGTCCAATATTCTTGGTGGTTTGCCCTGGGGTCAATCATTGCCAAGCAGGTCAGAGGGAATTTAGACTTCATGGGATAGTGCCATCCTCTACATACAGGGATCCCTCAGCCTCAAAAGACCTAACTATTCCTTCTGCAGACACTATGAGAATCTCAGATTCTAATTTCCCATGGCCCAGCAGGTGAGCTAGGCACCTAGTGGTTCCTCTTTATCAGCCTTATCCTCAGAACTTATATCTACCACAATCCCAAGTTGGAAACTTTGGGGTAGAGTGTCCTGCTAGGTAGGCACTTCACTGCACAGGGACCTTTATAGAGTCTCTGGGTAACCAGTCCAGAGTTTAAGGTTTAAAACTCTAAAACTGATGGTGATCCGTTAGTCAAAAAGCCACAGGATGAAGCAAGGGCTTTCTGCACCAAGATTCAGGTAATGAAAAAGGGACAGGGACATTCACATGTAAGCATACGACGGGAAGACTGGCTACAATGGGGCTCAGAGACAGCCCTCAAGGTGGGCCAGCTGTGCAAGAGTGTCATGTAGCCTCTTAGCTCCATCATAAAGTACCAGGTTCGGAAGGGAAGGATTATAAAGGGATCAGGGGAATTATGGAGCCAACAGGGACTTAGAGAAAGACCCACAGGGAAGGCTGGGAAAGAAAATGTTGCAGAATGTTAATCGTGCTCTAACACAGCATCTTTACTGTTTTTCAGGAAATGTTCTAGAGCAGGGGTCTCCAACTCCTGCGCTGTGGACTGGTACTGATCTGTGGCCTGTTGGGCTACATAGCAGAAGGTGAACAGTGGGCCAGTGAGCAAAGCTTCATCTGTATTTGCAGCCACTCCCCAGCACCAGCATCATGGCCTCAGCTCCACCTCAGATCATCAGGCATTAGGTTCTCACAGGAGCACTGGTCACTGGTGCCAAAAAGATTGGGGACCACTTTCCTAGAGAGTCCAGTAAATAGGGAAACAAGTTTTCTTTAAAAATTTTAAATGTGTTCTCTTTCCCCAGACTCATTAGCTACAGAATTAATGGCCAAAGGCCCAGGAGGCACTTGGTTCAGTGAACTAGAAGATATCCTTCACTTTTCTGTCTTAGTCTCTTTATCTATAAAATGAAAATAATACTTAAGGCACAGGTTGCCATGAGGATTTGATGATATAATTAATGTAAAACGCTTACCACACGACAGGCACACAGTAAGACCTCAATAAATGTTAGCTTCTAGTGATAATAAAAATGTTTTTATTACCTTCATGCTTAGGAGATAGTAAGTTCCCCACTACAGAAGGTGATCAAACACAGGCTGTTAAGGAAGCTACAGAGAAGATTGGATATAATTGGACTAAATGACATTTAAGGTGCCTTCTTCCATTCTGAGATTATGAGTCTCTTAAGAAAGCAAGAGCAAGAGAGAGGGAGAAAAAAAGAGAGAGAGAGGCAGGGAGGGAAGGAGGAGGGAGGGGAAAAGGAGAGAGGGAGAGAGAGGTAGAGAGTGGGGGGAAGTAGGGGGAGGGAAGGGCAACAGCTTTCCTGTAGGCACACATTTCCTGACAGTTTTCTTTTTACGGCAAAGGACTAATCTCTTTATCCCTTGTTTCTCAAATCCTTGAGCCTCATCCAAGAATGGTAGGTCCACCCCCCCACAGGGACTAGAGTTATAACAGTAGTGACTGTGGCCTTATAGTGACCCCTCATAACTCACAAAAAATCCACTGACACTGGACTACACACTAGTTTATAGAATAAGATTCATAATTCCTATTGCAAACTTGCAGTGAATCATGCTATTCCTTCCCAAACCCTACTATGACAGTAAAGGAATATAAAAAGATATAAAGTCACAAAGACAAGAACAGAGGAGACAACAACAGCTAAGAGATGGTAACAACATTCTGGAAGATGAAAAAGGATGGGTGAGTAGCAACTAATTCTCAGAGGAGCCTGAGATGACCAACTTGTGTTGTGTTCTCCAAAAACTCAGGAACTGAAAACAGGTGACTTCTTTAAAAGTCCAAATAAAGAACAGTTGGCTTTGGTGTTCCCTCCCCCAGTTCTCATAGTCAAGTAGCCATGCCCCCTTCCTGCCACAGGAAAGCCAGGGGGTTCACTCTTGGGCCCCCAGGCTCAGCTAAGGACCAAGTGGACATGATACAGAAGACAAAGAGATTAAGTTAAATCCAATACATGGTAAGGTGAGCCCACCAGAACCTTTTTCCAGCTCAGCTCCCAGAATGCTAGTTGCCTGACCATCCCCCTCTGTAAGCAGGCAACTAGAGAGTCCTCTCTAGAAAAATGACTAGCCTGATAAAAATAGACTCAGGATCCTGAAGCAGGGGACCCCAGTGTAACTGACTACCCTGTAATGAAGCCCATCCACTGATTCAGAGATTACAATCAGCTTTTTAGACCTTCACTCTTAGATGTAAACAGACAGCCAAGGAATGCCAGTTAATTGAGGAAAGCCCCTAACATAAAACAGAGAATCTAACAAGAAAAAGGAGCTCAGAGGATACAATATTCAGTGGAGCAGAGACACCTCAAAAACCGAACACAAAAACAAAAAAACTATAGCATCAGAAAAAGTTAATGCATGTAAGAAAAAAGAAAAACCATTTTTAAAAAACACAGAACAAGAAATGCTTAAAAATGTTTTAAATTCAACTGAAGAGAGAAAAGTTAACATTGGAAAATGTCTCCCAGAAAACAGACAAAAGAGAAGACATAAGAAAATTAGAAGGTCAATTCATGAGGTCCAACTTCCAACTAATAAAAATTCCAGAGAGAGAACAAAGAGAAAGGAGAGAATTGTGAAACATAACACAAAACCATTTTCCAGAACTGAAGATCTTTAGATCAAAGTGTCTACCAAGTGGGAGCAAAATGAATAAGAATGGACCAAGGTCAACCACATTATTATGCAATGCACATCACACCCCCCAAAAACTAAATCATCCATCTAAAGACTGGAAAACAAAACCTAATGAGATAGACATAAACTGAGCTAACAAAAAGGGAGGCAATTACTAACTTCTTAAAATTATACAAGAAAGGAACAAAAATCAGAGTAGACTAAAGGACTCAGTTGGGAAAAAGAATGATAGTTGTAATAATACAAATGCTGAAAAATGAATGAACCCAAAATTGTGATACTGAAAGATGGAGAGGGGAAGAGTGTGAGTAGTGAGTGATGTAAAACAGCTAAATCTTCCATAGGAAGAAGGTGATGTTTAATATCAAAAGTTGAGAAATTAAGAGCACAAACCTATTTTTTGGAAACAGAGGTAATTAACAAAAGAAATGACCATAAGAACACAAGGGGCAGGACCTCGGGCCGGATAAAGGAGGACAGCTTCTTCCTTGTAGGCCTGGCATACTAAGTTTTAAAACTATAAAAATACTTTTGGAGGTGATGGATATGTATGATTATGGCACTTATTATGGTGGTGGTTTCATAGGTGTATACTTATCTGTAAACTCATCAAGATGTGCAGCTGTCTGTATATACCTCGATATAGTGGATTTGTTTTTTTTTTTAAGTAAAATAAAACTGAAACTTTGATATTTTTAGAAAGAGGAAAAAGAAAAGAAAATAAACCAGTAAGCCAGAGCTACATTTAACATACAAAGGTACTGTTATAGTTAGTTGCTAATAGGCTCAAAACATACATAGTAACACGTACTTGGTTTTGCTTTCTCTTCCGCTGCAAACTCTTAAAAATTTCATTTCCAAACAGCGTTTCCTACATTTACAGTCACCCTGGAGGACAGTATTCATCTAAGTTTTTGGCATAATTCTCCAGAGTAGAGAAACAAGCAAAGACAGGGGTAGGGATTGAAAAAGAAATACCTAATGACGAGGGCTCTCAAAGTTTGGATCTGAGGGAAGCAGATCCAGTGGATCCTCTGGAGAATTCTCCCAGCTCTAAGAATTCCAATTCCACCTAGAGCAAAAGGCTGTCTGCAAAAGCTTTGGTAACCCTGTGTACTTTAGGCTGGCCTTTGTCAGACAGTGGGTAGCTGAAACTCTAGGCTAAACCCTCCAAAGGCTCCGTGTTCCTCCGTTGGGTCTATTTTCTTTTCTTTTTGTCAGGACTAGGGTAACTAACAGACTCAGGTCTCTCTCTCATACGGTCAGAATAGCCAGAGCCCTGGACATTAAAATCTACCACTTCCTGAAGATCCCCAGCAGAAGAATCAGAAATTGTGTCCAAAATTCTGCAACTTCCCTGCCAAATGTAGCTGAATAAATAACTGAAACATCTGCCTTCGAAAGGAACTAACTGAGCACACCACTCACCAGTGAGTCAGCCCAGGCAGGAAGTGTCATCTTGGAGGTAAAAACAACTCCCGGGGGGCTCCAGAAGAAGGAAGAGCTCCTGGGCTGTGTAGTGTGGGGCACCATGGCACCCAGACCTGTGTCTCGCTTGAGGCCCTGCTGGAGAGCCGGGCAAGGCCATGCAAAGCAATGTCTGCCAGATACCTAGGCTCTGTGCCAACCCACTCAAGGAGGGAGAAATGGATGGCAGGTCTTATGAAACAGAGCTTCCTGCCTTATTTTTAGCCCCAGAAAGGCAGGAGGGCCCCAATGGCATTTAGAAGGAGAAGAAACCAAGTGATTAAGAGCTATGGCTCTTACCCCAACCATGTCACCTACAGGCTGTGTGATCCTGGGCACGGCATTGAGCCCTCAGAGCCTCTACCTCATCTGAGTGTGGGGAGCACAGTGGTGTCTGCTCACAGAAGCTGTGAGGCTTATAGGAGATGGTATATGTAAAAGCTTCAGAACGGTGCCTCATACACAGAAAGTCTAGGAATGTAATTTATGACATTCTCCTCCGAGTGAGCCACACAGAGTATCTCCAAATGAGGCAGGGGGAGTGTTAGGTCATCAAGCTCCCATGGAGCAGAAAGCCCTCCTCCAGGAGCCATGTCAAGATCCTGCAACCTGAAAAAAAGCAAAGGCTCCAAAATCTAAAATTAGCTCAAAATCACCTTACAGAGTGGTTAGTTGTGTGTGTGCTGTTATATCCTTTGTGAGGTATTCATGATCAACCCAGCCTGCCACCTCCCAGGGTCACTTACACCTCTGCGGCCGAGCATGATTCCCCCACCTGGCTCTGAAGAACCACTGCAGCAACTGTATTACTCACTTGGCATTCAGCACATATTGCCATATTTGTCTCTTGGTATATGCCAAGACCTCAACTAGACAGAAAATTCAAGAACACAGGCTGTTTTCTTCCTTATAGTTCCCTGATTACATTAGACCTTACCCATAAGAGACAGACACATTCCTAGAACCACAGAACAGTGTCCTCAGTGAACTGTCCTAGCACGACAGTCTCCTTCACATGTTTATTTAGTTGAGAGACCTAGAGTCACCTCTGGGTATCCACTTACCTCATCCAGCTGTCTCTTTGTTTCTTCTTCCATCCTTCGAATGTCATCCATAGTCAGGTCAACCCACTTATCGAGCCAACAGAACAGCTGCCTGTGGAAGTTTGTAAACAGACGCCTCTCTTGCTATAAAAAGGAGGGAACCCAGTTAGAACACAGAAGGTGAAGGCCACTGCTGCAGCTCCCCTCCCCATGATCTCTGAGCCAAGACCCACACTTCAGTGGGGAGGTGGAAGAGGAGTAAAGCCTGGCTTGCTTGTCTGGATCAGCCCTCCAGTCCCATAGGTCAGTGACTTTTGCCTTCACATGTCTAACAGATATGGCTTCAAGTAGGAGGGAACTCCCAGGAGAGAATGAGTGTCTATAGCTAGGCCCTGTGCCCAAAATGCTACTAAGACAGGCAGCCCATGATGAGCTCACAGCTAAGCCAAGGCCCCAAACCAACTGTGCCAAGTTTCTTCCTTGTCTCTGGACCCTAGAGCCAGGTTAAAACAGGTCAGTGGCTATGAAATGTGGCCCAAGAGTAAGGCTCTAATATATCAGAAAAAAGATTATAAAAACTCCTTACATTTGCCTAGCTGTGTAATTCAGTGCCCTGGAGAATTTGGTTCACAGTATCTCTGCCTTTTGGCTTCAAGAAAAGAGAGAGACTGAGTTTTATTTGTATGTTAATAGTAGCAAGTCCCTTCCTGTTTCCTTTTTTTGCCTCACTTTCCTTCTGTTATATGTGATGCCTTTAGGTGGACAGCATTAAACCTTAAGACAGTTAAGTGGAGGTCTGGGCAATGAAACTGAAATATGAATGTCAGCCACCCTAGGATACAAGTCCCATGGATTGTATGATCTCTTGTTGGGCAAAACACCCCACCAACATACACACTGGGAAGGCCTTACCCTGGTCACTTACCTTATGTATAAAGTTTTCCACTTTGTTCTGCAGGCCCCACCACTTGAACTTGACAGTAACCAGTTTATATGCACACATGTATGGGCAGTCTTTCTGATTTACAAGTTCTTGCTGTATTAGAAACACACCCACAGGCAGGCAGGTAACTAAGAGGCAGACCTCTGGCTCTCCCTTAGCCCAGCCCCAGCCATTCCCTTTCTCCATGGGGAGAGGCCCACCCACACTGTGCCCAGCCCCCTGGTGGTGAGGGTGTGGACTGCACCTTCCAATTGGGGCCCAAGGGTCCTCGGCCTGTTTTGATAGATTTAAATTTTGCAGGGTCTTCTTCTGCCTTGTAATCCTGAGAGAAATTGTAGAATTGGAGTTGGAGAAGGGAGGGAGGGAGGAAAATGAAGAGAGGGATACGGGAGAGGGGGGAAGGAGAGAGGAAGAGAGAGAGAGAGGGATCAGATTTTCTATCGGAGTATACTTTATATCAGTCTTAATGCTGTTGACACACAGAAAATATAGAAAAATGTTATGAACGACATATAGAACTATTTACATTTGCCTCAGAGCAGTGTTCTGTGTGATTTTCTCTGCCAGGGTTTGTTTTCAATTTTAGCATATAAAAGTGACAACAGACTGTCTCAGCGAGCAATTATTTCCACTGTCTAAGGTAGGGATTTTCAACCTGAGGTGAACATCTAAATCACCAGGGATGGATGATTTTTTCAAAATACAGATTTCTGGACCACTCCACCTAAAACTCAGTGAATAAGAATATCTCCAGGTAAGGGGAGCAATAATTTTTTTTTTAAAACCTCTGGAGGTGATTCTAAAACACAGCCAGAGCTGAGAATAACTGGCTGTCATTCCTGAAATCTTTAAATCTGATCTCCCTCTGGTTTATTTAACTGGATTTTTTTCATAAAATCATTATTGGAAATGTTCAATGTATAGAACATACATAGGTCAATGTATAGTATCCTCTTGTGTATTACTGTCTGTCTCACTTTACTGATTTATAATGCAGTCAATGCTGTGTGTTAATTAACCATAACAAAAGTTTAATCTTTGATTATTCCTCTGCATTGACTAATGTGGGCTCAGGAAAAGCAAACTCATTATAGCATCTACTTAACAGAAATAACAAAGATAACAAGTTACACACATACACGCACAGTCATAAAGTATTTCCCAAAGCTAAGATTATTTATGTGTGCTTTAAAAAAGTAAATTTTCCCCACCTCTGCTTCTCTCCACTCACACCAAGACAACCGGAGTTAACAAAACACTCAGAGTACCTACTCTTTGCTAGTATTTCTGTTTGAGAAATATTTGGGTATGTTCAGTTTGAGAATATCCATTAAGATGTACACTTATGATAAATTCACTTTGCTACATGTTATATTTCAATACAAATTTTTTTGAAAAATCCACTAACCTTTTGAGGTGGGAGTGGGGATATCAGGTAAGGAAGCACAAGATGGTTTTCATATCTTTTTGGAAATGCACAAATCGAAATATCTTAAGCACACAGAGTGACTCCAGGAAGGAGGTATCATACCCCTGGGATATGGAGAGCAAACACTTATTCCCACTAATGGGCAGAGAGCCCAATTCCTGTGCCCTGATCTCAATAGGCCTCTGTCAGATAGGAAGAGTGCTGAATGAGGGGGGAATTACCCCTTTCCTTCCCTAAGCAAATACTTTCTGGGAGCATAGAGTGAGCAGGACAGACCTGGTCTCTGCTCTTTCCAAGTTTATGGTCTAGCAGTGGACTGTCCTTTCCCAGGCACCTGCTTCCCCAGGTGCCTGCTGCCATGTCTGTTAGTCTGGGAAGCCACTACTGACTTCTTGAGGGCAGGGGACTTGTCTTTTCATATATCTGCACCCCTTACCTGGAACCCACAGAACAGAGAACTCCAAACAGGCAGACAATAAATGTTTCTTAACTGCTGGGTTGGAAAAATAAATTTGAGAACTAATTTCAGGCTAAGTGTCATTTCAGCAGGGTGAATCACTCTCAGGACTACCAACAGCACCTACACTGTCCAGTGATAATTTCCAGAGGCCAAACGGGACACATGTATCTGGGCCACTATTTCCCTGGTGGTATCCCCAGGTCAAGACAAATGAATTCTTAATACTAATTTAAAAAATAAAACAATACCCAAGAGAGAACTTCTCTTTGATCCAAGTTGGGTCTGGTTCCCTGGTTTCTCTGACATTTAGAAGTCATTTCCGCATCTCAAAGGCCACCCACATCTCAAAACAGTTCCTACCTTGCTAAGTACTTGGCTTCGATCTGCAATGTCTACATATATGGCTTCCACATGTTTCCATGCCTCAGGCTCCAGTTTATGCACCTGCAGGAACAAGGAGGACCACTGTGTGGTTTTTCAGCTAAAAAGCACCCTTAACCCAGAAGGGACATCTAGGAACATCTATTCCCATAGCCAGAGATGTGAGATTTCTACTGGTAAAAAATTACATACAAAATTATCCACAGGGATAGGAGGATGGATTTTAAGTGGACATACATTTGAGAACTAATGCTCTGATTTTGCAGGCTAAGTACCACTTTAGTAGGCCAAACTCTTTCAGGGCTACCTATAGCACCTACGTTATTTCCATATGTTCCCCCTTTGTAAAGACTATAAACACTCATGGAGATGTTGCCTGCTTAGCTATATACTGCTGATTTTGATGCTTTTAAAAATTAACTTAAACAGGTTCTATATATACATGATATGAAATTATGATACATATTCAAAATGTATGAAAGGATATGACGAAGAATTCTTTCTCTTCTCCCAGTCTCCTCCCGAGTAACACCACTGCTACCAGATTCTATGCACATACAAACGTCCATGTGCGAAGATTATTCTTCAAAATGGTTGCACATATACACACTGTTTTGCATCTTATTTTTTTCACTGAACAATATATCCTGAAGACTGTTCCCTATTGGTTCTTTTTAATGGCTGCATAATATGTACTATATGGCTACATCACAATTTATTTAACAGTGTCCTACTGATGGACTGTTGTATTGTTTTTAATCTTTGGCTACACAAAGAATGCTGCAATGAATCTCCTTGTATATAACTTATTTCACACATGTGTAGATATAACTGTATGATAAATTCCTAGGCATGGAAATGCTGCAGTAAAGGATAGGTATATTTTAAATTTGAGGAATTATTGGCAAATTTTACTCTATAGAGGCTATAATTTTTGTGTTTTAAAAATATAGCTTCTTTGTGCCAGGAGTTGTACTTCAGACAAATCTCAGTACTAAGAAAAGGAGTCTTAGAGATCACATCTTGCAAATTATAGACAGAATAATCCCATGCTGGTAGGGCAGCTCTAGGCAGAACTTGTTGCCTTCCTGGCGAAGAAAAAGGAAAACATAAAGAGGACCCCAAGGCAGGAATGGAAAAGCTATAGGGCACAGCCTTAGTACCCTGCCCTGAGGCCGGGGTGTCTCTGGGAAGTGCTACTTACATTCTCCTGGGTGCCAAGATCTGGTTTGTGCCAGGTTTCAATTTTAATCAGAAAGTCTTCTTTCATGTACTCATTCTGGAAGGGGGGGAAAAATACCTTACGGTCACTAGGCTCAAAGTTGGAGAGTAACCATCTCCTATTACTGGATCAAAGGCAGTTGAGAGAATACAGCCTCTGCTTACAATGATAGTTAACTTTACGGGGAGCCCACAATATGCTAGGCATGCATAATCTCATTCAATCCTCATCCCAGCCTGTGAGGTCTGTAGTAATACCATCTTCATGTTATAGGTGAAGTAAGTGAAGCTCAAACGGATGAGGTGACTTGTCTAAGGCCACAGAGATAATGATAGAGCTGGGCCTCAAAATCAGATTTGACTTCAAAATCCATGGATTTACCCTTTCTACCATACTACCTTATGCACAGGATGCTAATGCTTAAATAGAAGTGTGGGAAGAGCACAGGAAGACTTCCTAACCAACCAAAAATGTTCACCACCACCCCATTCCCCACAGCCAGCCTTTTGCTGAGGCCTAAAGTTCTCAGCAAATTAACCCTTCATGCTAATTACTGTCTTCCTTCCTCAGTACTTCTTATTTATTTTTATTTTTTCTTAGTGCTTTTTAAAAACTATATAAGGGAAGAACACATTAACCCATTAACTTCTTAGCAGGAATTAGGTTCCTAGGAACTACCTAAGTTAACCTGCAGGGACAAGATACTGGATGAGGATGCTGAAGGGTAGAGAGAAGGGGCAATGACATGGGATGGTTATGGAAGAGGAACTTTGCTGATTTCATAATTTTGCCAAGGGTCAGTGTTCATGGGGTCAACAGATGCCCCAAATGAGAAAGCCCCAATTAGGTCAGCTGAACTGCAGTTTCCATACAACCCTGACAAGGTACACCCTAGGGGAGAATAGGGGAGAGCTTTGGGTCAATCTGTGCATGTGAGAGCCAGAGCTAGGATGCCACAGACCTGACTGTTGTACCTTACAAAGCCACATGCCAAAGTAGCTTAAAGCGAGAGGCTACTTTGTCAATTAACAGCTAGCTTCCCCCTGAGGACTGAAAGGATTAGCCCCAACAGCTCCAAAAGTCACCCAAGAGAAAGAAGAATACTTAGGAACCTCCGGTGCAGTTATACTTTTACTTCTCCTTTTCTTACAAATCATCTATGATTCCAACGCCCCCCACCCGCCCCGCCCCCCGAAAATACTTACTGTAATAACTGCTCCAAGGCAAAGACATGGAAAGAAGAGAGAAAAAGATTAATAAGAATGAATAAATATCTGCCCCTCAGTCTCAGAGGCCATGGTAGAAAAGAGTTCTCCACTCCCTGGGGCTTATTCCACAGTCACCCTCCCAGCCTCAGTGCACCAATTCTCAAGTTTCAATCATATAAAAATCCCCAAAGACCAAATCTGGAATTTAATTAAAGAGATGCCACTATCCTCAGGATTCCTTCCAGCTGGGCAAGGAAAGGGGACTGGTTTTGATGAGTTGAAGCACTGAGATCCTCCATGCTGCCTCCAAGGATCACCTGGTGTCCCCCCTGCTTCCTGGGGCACAGAACAAGGCACTTAGGCCAGGTGCTGTCTGTCTGCCTTCTGCATCCCTCTCTCACTGTAACCAAACCTCTCGCCCTCTACGCTCTTGCTCATTGTAATGAGACCCCCTCGGAAAGCACAGTTCAATTATTTATCAGAGAAAATGACTACGGCTCTAATGTCACTGAGTAATGGACTAGCTCTCTTCTTGACAATAGCCCAGATCATTCTGTGCCCTCTGAATTTAGGAGTTATCTCAATTTCTGATAGATGCCACACTGCTGTTTGGACAGTTAATGGGGCTAACAGTCAAACCCCATAACTCCAAACTGAGATGAGGAGAAGTTGAAATATAAAGGATAAGATCCACCTTGCATAAAAATAACATAAGAGACTATAGTAATTCCCCCAAATCCAATTGAAGATACTTGGAAGAAAGCACAAAATTATAACTAAAAGGCCTATTGAAATAACTGCCCTGTTGTCAGCTTGGAGAAAATCGTGTTAAACAAAAATGAAATGATGGGTATACTATCCATCGAAGGGAAGTCCAAAGAGGCCAGTATGGCAAAAATTCTCCAGTGCTGTCCTGGGAGCAGGAGCCTTGGGCTGCGAACGTGGCACCTCTAGCAGCCCCATCCCAAGAGTGGAGACAGCAGTGTCAGGCTGGCCTGGTTTGATGATACCAGCCACTAAAGTTCTCCAGTTAACCACTTGATTCTGAGCCCATGTTCTCCAAGTGACCTTCTCCTTCTAGTCTGGCCTCTGTAGGGACATAATGTGCTAATCAACATACTCCAAAGTCTGATCACTTAAGCATGTGAACATTTTCACTACATGTTGGCATTCTGATTATACCTTGGTTTCTCACATGGAAGAATCCACAAGAATGCCCTAATCAAGACCCAGTTTCATTAGTAATTCTGTACTTCAATATAACTTAATATATTGGTATATGAGATTTTTATACATTCATCGTTTTCAGACCCTGAGAAACAGATTCACTCAGTTCTGACAAATTAGGTTTCTGAATCTATGGGAGTGATAACCCTATGTAGCCTTTAATGCCAACTTGGTTGACTAAACAATCTTCCCTAAACTTCTCTAGCTGTCCTTGCCCCTCCAAACACCTCTGCATTCACAGCAATCCCTTTTCTTCGAACTGCAACCCTGGGCACACTGGAAAGGTCCCAGGAAACTCTTTGTAGTTGGAAAGTTGGGCTCTCCAAATAAGACTAATAAGGTACTTTAAAACCATGGCTTAGCAAGACTGTATTCAGCTGAGGGTTAAGGCTAGAGGGAGAGGTAGGAGGGAAAACATTCATTTTTCTCTTTCTATTTCCATTTACAGTCCAAATCCCATCTCACTCCCTCCTCACATCCCAACCTATCAGTAATGGGGGAAAGAGATAGACAAAAATAAGGTAAGAGGGTAGCAAGGGCTGATAATGAGTAGAGTATTCCAAATCTGTTTTCATTCCACTCAGAATAGGGTTAGAGCTTTCCAAAGCATGAGGAATTTACTTCATGCTCCTTTATCCAAACTTTGATCCACTTAGGTCAAGCTTAGATGTTTGAACTAATATCTTCCCCCCATCAACTCCCAGAGGAAACTGGAAAGTAGCCTTCCTTGTTTATCTCTCTTATTTTAAAAGAGCAAGCATCTAACTGAACAGATCTAAGATCCGGCATATTCATTTCATATGACGGCGGATTCTGACTGTGAGGTCAGCACCTGCTGAAGAAACCAAACTTCCCTCCCCCGACACTCTGCTTCTCCTCTTTGTGGAGTATTTAGAAATTACTTTTATCTTTTATTTTTAACTTTTGGCCAAGGACAATATGTGAATGAACATTTGGTGTCTAGAATAATGTCCATGTCAGCTGCAGCACACTCCCCAGAATTATACAGGACAGTAGCATCTCTCAGTTAATATAAGCTGTGTATCCAGAACCCTGCCCCAGGCACAGAAGAGTCCATGCCATCCATTTGTCTCCTTTATGCCAAGTTGGCTAAGGTTCTTATGACACATGCTTAATGAAACTCTCTTAGATATCATGAAAATTCACCTTTGGCACTAGACCAGACATACCCAGGGATAGTGTACGCTGTCTTTTAAGAAAGTGTGCGCATGCCTCTTTTCTAATAATTTAACAGCTTCCTTCCAATGCTTAGGGAATAGCAATATTTGCATTTTCAGCTACAGCAATAAAACTCTAAGTGCCACACATCCCAGGTCCCATCAGTGATTGTTAATCTCCCGATATAAGGTTCTTGAACCTGTGCAGGGCCACTGAGGATTGGAGAGAGCAATGACCCTGTGCACTAGACTTTAGTCATTCCCAAGTTCACAGGATAATGACCACATGGGTGGAGCATCCTTATCAGATGCAATCTAGGAAGTGCCAGGTCCCAACAAGTAAGTAGAGTAGTGCATGTAAGCAGAGGCTGGCAGGAGCACCCTGTAGCTAGACTGTCTGTACAAAGAAATATAGGTTGGATGGAGAAAAGACCACACACCTCACACACAAGAGGAAACTGGAAAGTAGCCTTCCTTGTTTATCTCTCTTATTTTAAAAGAGCAAGCATCTAACTGAACAGATCTAAGATCCGGCATATTCATTTCATATGACGGCGGATTCTGACTGTGAGGTCAGCACCTGCTGAAGAAACCAGACTTCCCTCCCCCGACACTCTGCTTCTCCTCTTTGTGGAGACCTCTAGGGAACTCCCCTAAGGACATGGAGCAGTACCGGCTTGGGCTCTCCAAGAGACCTACTTTTAGATGGCTCTTGAGACCTAGGAATCCTGGAAAGCTAGGAGTGTGAACTACTCAAAGGGAATCCCAAAAACAGAATAGAAAGTTCTCTGTGGAGGTTCAAATCTTTCTTTTCCAAAAACTCCAGATAGGAGACAGGCCAAGATTAAGAAAATAATTCCACCCCACTCCCACCTTTAACTATAAAATGTGCCAGTTTAGCATAAGCTATTGATTCAGGGCTCTTAATAGTGACTTCTCTCCTCCTTGCCCCCCACCGCCATCCAAATCTGGCATGTACACTCTGTGTGTTATATAACACATTTGAGGGATAGTTGTTTCTAAATCCACTGCCATCGGAAGTTGGGCTTATTTCCATTTTACCCCAATAATATCAATGTTTTCTTTGCTAAGTTTTCTTGGTGTCTAGCCCTGGCCCTTCCCCAGGGTAGGAAGGCCACCCCAGAGGCCCTTTCCTATGACTGCTGCCTCTCTCAAGAGCCACTGGCCTCAATGCTGTTTTTCAAGTTAAACACAAATATATATCATCTTAAAACTGGAAATGTCGGTATCTAACAACAAGCGAGTGGTTTAAAAGGATCACAGTCCATTCATACAATGGAATGCTATGCAGCCATTACAAATTTTAAAAAATAGGAGACTGTGTAGTGACAGGGAAAGGGTCCTGCATTTACTGAGTAACCTGAGCAATTTAATAATTAATATGATCCAAAATTTGTCCAGAAAATGTGCCTGGATACTTTATATATGTGTATATATGTAAGCATTAAAAAAAAACTAGGAAAAAAGACACTAAACTGTTAATGGTGACCACCTAGGAATGGGAAAATCATGGGTGATTATTTTCTTCCATTTGTATGTACTTTCCAAAATTTAAATAGAGAACATTACTTTTTTAATCAGTAAAAACAATCAAAATAATTATACCATCCCCAAAGAAAAGGGGGTGGTTCTGTGCCATTTTAGGCCATGACTATTTGGTGGTTCCCACCCAGCTGGCTGCCAAATTGTACTAGACAGTGACATTTACCACCAGTCTCAGCCTGAAAGGAATCCCAAAGCTCATCCTTCCACTAGCTTAATCTAGAAAATGAATGTGGGGCGCAAAGCCCCAATTCACCCCGCACCACAGAGTCTACTTGACCATACCCTCCATCCATCTTGGTGCCCAAACTCCAGCTTCTAGCCAGGTCTACACTCACCAGTTCTGCAATAAGGGTAGGCATTCCATGCTTTTTCATGTATATTCAGGGCTCCCTCTGGGGCCAGCATTCTAACAAACGTGGGCACTTTGCTATAGTGAGAAAAGGGTTATGAAGAGAAATAGAGGAGAGAATTAGAAGACAACGTGCTTTTATATCACATTCTTCAGGCCACATCTCCAGCTTCTTTAATGGGGAGTTGACAAGTAAATTTCCATGAGATAAGTAGGTTATTCCTGTGTGTTAGAAGCCATTGTCAGAGCCTGACCCCTCTCCCCCAGCTTGTCTGTCTACTAACATCCACTCACATCTTGCTCTACCACCCATCAGAAGCAGGACAGCAGGTGAGACCTCAGGCTACCTGCCACGGCTTATCAGCCATTACGTAATCATTATGCTTTCTTTCCAGAGCTCACTGGGCCTAGTACATTATACTCTACACTGCAATGATGAGATACCTCCAAGAGTCCAGGTTTATGGGTCTGAGTAACTGACTGACTAACTTGTCATATGGAATCTAGGATGATCCGATCTGCTATTCTCAGTTCTTAAGATGCCAGGAGGGCCTTGGGGCCATCTGTCTCCAAGGACAAAGTATTTTCTTGAATTTAATTCTTCTTACCTTGGGCTACTGAACAGCATGTTCGTTAAAGCCCATTTTTTTTAAAGGTATATATATTTCTCTTTAGTTTTTACCTGGTAATCTAAGCAGTCTTTAGCAGGCTCCAGCAATCTCATCAGCTTTAGGGCCTGAGGTCTAAGAAAAAAGAACTAACCCCAGTAAAGAGCTAACTCAGAACTCTCAGAGCAACCCTCTAAGAGTCATTTACTCACTGCCACACTCATTTAGTAAGTATTTCCATGTGCCAAGCAGTGGGATACATATAGAAACCACACAGACATACATGCCTCATGCCCTCAAGGAGCTTACATTCTAGTGGGGAGTATAACTAACCAGGCAGAGGACAACACTGCAAGTGTGTGCCATAATGGGACAGCATAAGGCTCTGGGAGGGAGAGCACTATGGGAACATGGTGTGGGAGGCATGGTGCATGAGGAGGCTCCTCTGGGAGAAGGATTAAATGAACACATAGAGTGAGTACGACTGAGCTAGACAAAAGGATAGGAGTGGGGTGAGAAGAGATGGTGGAAGAGAGAGAAGTTCTGAGTATCTGGTGGGGAATACAAGAGAGTCTGAAGAGGATGGGTCATAATAGATCTTATAAGTTACATCAAAGACTATAGACTTTATCCTGAGGGCAAAGGGAAGCCATCTATAGCTTTTAGCTGGGGAGCAACAGCTCTGTCTTCTGGACAGAACACCCAAAATTGTATGGAGAACTGGAAAGCAAGACCAGTTAGGAGCTACTGTAGTAATCAAGGCAAGAGACAATAGAAGGAAATAGGAAGATTGGAGGTACCAGATATGGAGATGGAGTCAACAGAAATTGATTTGATATAAGGGACGAGGAAGGGGGTGGTGATGAACCCATGTTTCTGACTGGGGCAACTAGATGGATGACAGGAAGGCTTTGGTCTTCATGAGGAGACGTGGTTGCGGCATTCAGCATGTTTGCTTTTTTTTTGCGGTTGGGTGTTTGGGATTAAGGAAAGGGTAGTGGTAGCAGCTCAAAGTTTATACTCTCTCTTGTAAGCAAGAGGGTAAGACAGATGCTACAGACCTCCTCTCTGCATCTCTGGTTGGACCAAATAAGTCTTGAGGAACCAAATGGCTCCTTCTACCAACCTCACTATCTCTTTCAAAATCCTCTCTAAAAAAAATACAAATGCAACCATAGGGAAGGTATAACTGAATCCTTATTTATTTTTTTAATTTCTAAATTTATTTTTCAATTACAGTTGACATACATCTTAAGCCTTATTTTAATCAACTGTCAATGGCTCAGCAAGGACTGGTTGGCAGTCAACTCAGAGCAGGGATAGAGGAGGATGAAGAGGAGGCTTGGAGGAAAAAGCACACTGGCAAGGAAATGGGATCACGGTGAGATTTCCCCACCTTCTACTTTACAATGTTGCTTTCCTCTTGGCTCCAGCACTCATAAAATCCTGGTCCTCTCTGGGCTAATACTTTTACATCTCTAGAGCAGCAGACTACATTAAATGAGAGATTTTATCCAGTGAAGATGAAATTGATTTTAGTTTAGTTTGGTGACTAGAAATTAAGATTCAGGTTTAAGTTGTACAGCAATGTGGGATGTACTTAATGCCATTGAACTGTACACTTAAAATGGTAAAAATGGTGAATTTTGTGTTAAGTATATTTTCCACAATTAAAAAAATATATTCAGGTTTATTTTTGCCAGTTCTGGATAGTTTCTGAAACGAGCTTGGTTCAACTTCCCTTCGAGCTGGTATATGTTGCTTTCAACACCCTTTGGGTCAGCTCAAGAGTTTGCAGAAATATTACTGTTTTGGTTAGGGATTCAGAACATTCGTGTGGTTTGCTATCAATTTTGGTACACAAATCAGTTCAAATATTTAAAGATTTATGTCTTTGATCCAAAGACAGGTACCAAAAATTTCTCTAGTAGCTAATTTTACAATATCAGAATTTAAAATACTTCCTGACCCAGCAATTCCACTTTTAGGAACATTTATTTTGATTTACACACAAAAGTACATCAAAAGATTTATGCAGGAGTTGTACTGGAGTACTGTATGTAAACATCTAGAAATGACTATAAACATACATCAAGAGGCCTGGTGAAACAACTTACAGCATATCTGTACAAAATAATACTATGTGTACTTCAAAAGAATGAGGCCAAATATCCTAAAAGTGAAAGAAAGATATGGCATGATAAGTAACAAAAGAGCAAAATCAAGAATAGTATGTATTAGTATAATCCCATCTATGTAAGATAACAATAAAGGAAACAAACACCCATCTACACACACACACACACACACACACACGCTCTTCTAT